TTGCAAACCTTTCACAAAACCTTTTTCTTAAAATCATTTGCTTTTCATTTAAATCGAACTTTCCCAATCTCAAACCCAATGTTATGCATGGATGTCTCATGCTTTCCAATACCATGTCATGTAAAGCATTTCACATTCTACAAATTCAACATGCTTCCCTACTTTAATTTCAACAATTCATATATACTAGGCATGGAAATTTTACATAAACATGCTTTCTCACATAAATCATCTAATATACATAGCATCCAACTCATATATAACACATAGTTCATTTTAGGGAAAGAAATCAACACAAATGTAACATGCTAAATCATAATTTATGAAGGAATAGACTCACTAAGGCCTAAGAAATCATAGATTATGGACCTCTACCTCTAATTTGAAGAAAAGCCCCAAATCACCTCAAACCCTAGGATTTTAAGATCCCCAATTTGGTGGCCAAATAGAGATTGGCTCCGATTAAAACGTAGATCTCGGCTTGCTCTTTAATTTGCCGCAAACAACATCAAAAATCTCCCAACGGTTTGAGAGAAATCAAGATTTGAAACTAGAATAAAAGAGAAAACAAAAATGGGAAAAGAGAAATAGAGAGAAGGCGTGAGATAGAGAGAGATTTGAGACCAATAATGGTCTCTTGACCATTTAAAAGGGGGAGGATAGGGTGGGCCCCACCAAAACATTTTTCTTTTCTTTTTAACATTAATTTCAATCACAATTTTATGTATACACACATTTAATAATCCATAACCTCATATAACATATTAAGTAAAATGCATAGAATGCAAATGGACCCAACCATAACCTCTGTACACGACAATTCTGATAACGGGTCCCACACGGGACCGTCCGGCTCGAAAGACTGAAAAAATGCAAAATGACAAATCTTGCATTTCAAAGAGTCTTGAACTCAATGAAATGCCCCTACCAACTCTCAGACACTCTCGATATACCCCACGGTGTTCGGTACGAAAAACGGCAAATGACGAAAATGCCCTTGAAATGACAAAATTCCTGGAAAAAGAAAAATGGGGAAAAATGGAAACATCACACCAAGTGTCTCCCATATATCATCAACCAATCTCACGATGTATCATATACATATAAGTAAAGTAATGCACTTCACAAGCAAACTAAAATTCAATGGTCATACAATTCATGCCCTATAGTCTCCAATACTATCATGGGGTGAATTTCAATATAATGACATCAAAATGCATTTGTAAATTGTCAAAGTAAGTAAAGTTATAATCATGCTAGCATTTCATCCATAATGACATACTAACAATATATTGACTACAAAATCATATTTTCAAGTAATACTCATAAGACTTTACATAGAATTACAAAATGAATATACCTCACATATTGAATCTTAACAAGTATAGTGTATAAAGGCATATATATATATATATATATATATATATATATATATATATATATATATAACATAAGAAATTAACCAACTTACTAAGTTAATCAATGGCATGCTTTCAAACCACATTTCAAGGCAGGTCATTAATAATTATAAATAAAAAACACTCATAACTCATACAACACATGCACAACACACACCATACCCCCAAACATAGAGAAATTACTAGTTTAAAGTTATATTACACACCCTACCTCACTTCTAGGATAACAAATCTAGAAAATCTAAGATGAAGTAGCTCCAAATCCAAAACAAAACAAAAAGTTTTGTTGGCCTTGGTGTTCCCAACCTTTTTCCCTTCTATGGCCACACCAAAAGAGCAATAGAAGATGATAAAAAATGAAGAAATGGGGTGAAAGAAGAAGATGGAGCAAGAGAGGAAAGAGAGATACAAGAAATAAACGAAAAGGGGAAAAGAGAAGATGAAAAATCTGATATCCCCTCAAACATATACATGTATCTATATATAAAATATCTAACAAAGGTCTCAAAAGTCAAAGTGGCCCCACAAAGTCTCCAAAATCACACTAATGGCCCCAATTGCAAAATAAATGCTTACATGTGTATGGAATGCCCCACAAATGCTATGGATGATGAAATACGCCCCAATGGAACAAATGAAGTGTCGGGAACTATTCCCGAACACTTGACCCCGTCTGGGCACGCGACCAGAAAATGAAAAAGAAATAAAATAAATTAAAATAAATGCAAAGAAAAAGAAAAAAGGACACTGGTCCTCACACAAACTGTGTTGTTTTGGGGTGCACTCTTATTTGATGAAACAAATTAGTCTTTTCTTTTAGGTAATATCAACATGAATGAAAATAATAAATGGTAAATAATCTAAAGTGATTTTTACTGACCAAGAGTCTGCAATTGTTGTGTGCATTACTTGGCACTCAACATCATTTTTGCTTTTGGTATATCATAAAAAATGCTACCAAAAAGTTGGGTAGTGTATGCAATGAACATAATAGATTTAAGCATTCTGCTAGGTAGTAGCCCATAACTTAAGAAAATAATAATATATTAGAAGCGATTTTTAATTTAATAAAAATAATTTTTTAGAGTGTAACATGATCGTCTCAATCAACTTTAAAGAATCATTATTATTTTTCAATTACCAAAGAAGGTTTGATCAACATACATTTAAGACAGTGGAATAATTGTTTGCCATCAATAATCAGTTGTTTGCTAGATTTGAAGTCCATGGTCCTTGATCTCGAACAGCCCGTGGCACATTTCTGATCTTCACTTTTATTTTCTGTTTGAAATTCCTCAAGCGGTGAGAACTGTGAGCTTCATATCCCCTTCTGAATTTGGTGTAGAGAATCTGATATATAATGTGTGTGTATATATATATATATATATATCTCTTTCAATTAATTAATCCTCTAAGTTTGAATAATGGATCTAATATATTTATATTTCTATAATATAATTACGAGCGTATGGAAATATGCCATCACTTCCCCTTATATAGTGGTAGAGTCCCTAATAATTACATATTCATTTTCCTACACAAATTCACCTTCAGATCTACCACTAGGAGTGAGATCTGATAGACTTATCCATATCCCAGACTTAAATAGAATATTTTAGTGGCTTACTAAGTCCTTAGTCTATTAGAATACCTCCTATTAATTATTTCTTGTTCCACTAAAAGGGAATAGCTGTACTCAAGGATACAAATAATTATTGTTAATTACAAACTAGCCCTAACAATTATTTAATACCATAAATCGACCCCTCCACGATAAATAGTTATTTAGATAAATATTACCATCAATCCAATATACGAATTAATTCATATTTGGTCACCTAGGTTTATCCATTTGATTACATATACTTATTAAATCAATATTAAATATAATTTTTCTGCAATCAAATAAACCTAGCCAAAATAATTTTCATTTTGATAAAATACATTCTGCAATGAATATATTAATTATTTACCCAAAATACTTAAGTTGTCCGACCCGAAGGTCACTTAAAGTATATTAAATAAATAATTAATACAACCCCAGTCGGTATAGTTATTAGGATTAAGAGTCAACTTGCATTAGTAACTGATAAGAAAAATTACTCGTGATGGTGCAAGTAATTTTTAACTTATCGTCGATCAGTTCGGCCATAGAAAACACGCTAACATATTTGGTTCTGGATCACCTCATTTAGATGACTGTGACAAAAGTCACCCCATTTAGTATTACTTAGTTGGAAACCAACGATTATTCTCATGGAATAGAATGTTCAATTTTCTTCCTCATAGTATGAGCACTTATATATAATTATGCTGCACTTCGCTGCCACCCTCTAACTCCGCCACCTACACCACTGTTACCTTCCACTTGCACCACCATCACATACACCACAACTGCCTTCCACCTCCGCCACCAACGTCACCGCCGTCCACCGCTGCAGCCATTTATTTTTTATTTTATTTTTTTATAGAAGAATGCTATTTTGTTAATTTAATTTATTTGTCACTGAGAGAGGTATTTTGGATAATTCAATTTGAAATTCATTATATTCTAAATTTTAAACTGGTTCAACAAAACGCTATAATAGTTATCATTTCATTCATACACATTTCATATATGCAACCAAACAGTAGAATGAGAATACCATTCAATTCCTGAATACCTAACGCAAAATTTAAGTTTATAATATAATAAATTATTCATATTTTCTTGACTTTGTGGTTACTTTACTTTACACTAATTTTATTTAGGTTTTGATCACTAAAATCTATTTTTTAATTTTTTATTTTTTAATTTTAAGTTGTAATTCTTATTAAAAAGGGCATGCTAATAATATTTTAATTAAGTTAGTGAATAATAATATAACTAAGTATAAAATAAAAAAAACTTTATACCATAAATAATATGTCATGGACATCATCATCTGGTCTTACTCCCATTATGAATAAAGTTGGCAAGATGATGGCCAAAGAACTAAGTGGCCCAGTGATACTCGACACTAACTTTCAAAAGGTTTGGTCCAGAGTTCGAGCCCAAGTGGATGTGTGTGGGGTTACTACCCATCTAGGAAAAAAAAAAAAAATAGGCTAGCCACATGAATTTTATGAGTCAAATATTTAATAAATAAATAAATAAATAGAAATATATATTTAAGTACAATAAACAAAGAGCAATGATACATCCTCTCAATTAGAAGGATTCCGACCAGATAACATAGGCCTGGAACTGAAAACCATCACCCATAAGGTTATCCTCACATCATATAAGAGATACACCTCACTCATGTAACACCTAATCCATATCTTCAGAATTAAGAGTGTTTTTCATTTTTCATAAACAAAAGCATATTGCATTCTTAATCTAATATTTGTGATTTTTACATTTTAAAGTAAATACCATACTTAAAGATTCTTTATTTTATTTATTTTTAATTTTTTTTTGTCTTAATTTTTATTTTGAAAAGAGAAAATATCACTAAACCATAAACTTCACTGAATGGTATAATTATTCAACATGGTAAATGACATAATGTCAATTTAAGAAAAAAATTATACTCAAATTAATCAAAATAAAAATTTTATAGGACAAAGGAAAGAAAAAAGAAAAAAGGAAAATAAAAACAAGGGAGCAAGAGCACAGGTGCCGTTTTGTGCAGAAAGGGCTTTTGAAGTTTGCCGCCCTCTCCCCCCCAACCCCTCTCTCTCTCTCTGTATGTACTGGGGCCTTTTTCTTTGTGTTGGCATCTTTGAAGGCCAACGGACAATTGTTTGGATTCAGTTCCATTTCATCATTCGATGGCCTCAGATATTGCTCCTGAAATGGTTGTCGACGACGATGTGAGTTCACTTCGTCTCTCTACACTCTCTTTCTCTAATCTCTTTAACTGACTTATTCTCTCTCTCTCTAGGAATTCGACTGGGAAGCAGCTGTTAGAGAGATCGATGTCGCTTGCGAGAAGACCAAACCCTCCACTTCACTCCCAATTGAACATCCACATCAAGTGTTTACAAAGAACAAGACCCAGAAGAAACATGGGTCTTCTCGGCAGTCCACTCTCGATCATTTAATCGGCAAAGCGGTCCCAAAACCCCGAGTTGAGAAGTGGGATGTGAGGGACAGAGACCAAGAGAGGATTGAGAGTGATGAAATAGTCAGCTGCATCAACATTGATGCCGAGGCGGCCAAAACATGGATATATCCAGGTTGTACACACAATACTACTTACAAATTTAATGTTCATTCTTTTTTTGGTTGTTGTTGTTGTTGTATCAAATTGGGTTTTGGTTTTGTACTTATTCTGTGAAGATGGGTTTTATTGAATTGATTCAAATTTTGTTTCTTTGAATTTGTTCTTGGTGGGGGCAATAGATATATTGCTCTCTTTATAAAGTATTTGTCACACCAGCATTTTAACACTCACATTTTTTTTATCATTACCTACATGTGTGTGTTTATTTTTATTTTTAAAATTTTATTTTTTATGTGCATATTTGGGTTTTCAATAAATTTATCTATCTGTCTAGGCGTACATGGTGCGCCTTAGTTTATTCCATGGCAATAATTGCATTGGTATGGTAATGATTATGGATGAAGAATCTATTTTTTGTGGTCTGCTACAGAAAGCTTGTATTTAATCTTTCCCTTTTATTTTTTTGCCTGCAGTGAATATTCCTCTTCGGGACTATCAGTTATCAATAACCAAGACGGCTCTGTTTTCGAATACATTGGTGGCATTGCCAACAGGACTTGGGAAAACTCTTATTGCTGCCGTTGTAATGTATAATTACTTTAGATGGTTTCCAGAAGGTGATGGAATGTCTTATCACATTTCCCATTGCTTTCTATGCACCCTACTAAATGAGAGTTATCTATTTGACCCTCTAAATAACACAATATATATACATATTTTCAATTTGTTCTTTGGCATTCTATGCGGGTGTGCAATCAACCACTTGTTACATAACCCAGAGATAGCTGGTAAAGTATTTTCAATTGCTTTGTGGCTGTAATTACATTTATCTTTGCATTGCATTGTCATGTACAAAGATTTATGTGTTTGATGTTGTTAGACGATTTAAATATTAAAGTCACTCCATCTCTAACTGCCTAATCTTTTAGTGTAGATGGTCGTTAACATGGTATAACAACAAGCAGGGTCTTGAGTTCAAACCTCACTGGTACTCTGATAATTAAAATTGAAACACGTTTTGGTTCAAAAGAAGGCCACACGTGTGGGGACGTGTGTTAGACGATACAATCAAATATGGACATTCAGTGGCGCTTTGGGCTTAACAGCTTAAGCTTTTAGAGTAGATGGCCGTGAACAAATATATTTGATAAATAAATCATGCGGAACATTGCTATGTTATAACACCACAATCTGGTGCCAAACAACTTTTAACAAACTGGCATACAACTTAGTATATTTCAACTATCACAGAGTTGCACTAGCGTCTTCCTAAAGAAAATCATTTCTATATGTGCTGACAGAAGTTTTAGAATGTGTGGGATAGTGGTCAATGAATGAATGCATTGAGTTCTGCACTATGATAGGATTGGTTTATTGTTGAATGTATCACATTAGATATGTGCATCCATAAATTTTCTTGTTTTCTTACATTCATGTATTAAAAGTGTTAGGAAATGTCAAAGAAGGTGAAACTGTCCTCTAAAATAGCGATAGTATTTTGATGCGGCCAAAAGGAGTTTAATTACAATCATTTCCCCTTTAGAAATAACAAACTTTTGTATCTCGAGCTCCTTCAAGTTTTTGGAAGGCAAGAGGCAAGATGCTATTTGTTTTTGCCTTTGCAAAATCTTATTTGCAATTTTAAAATCCTTGAATTCCTTCTACTTCCAATGGCTCTAACATATTGCTGGAGAGTCCCCTAGGAAGTCGGGAAAGGTGCTGCATAATTGTTTTGGTGTCAGATTCTTTTATGCACAATTTACTAATCCTTAAGGCATCAATACAGTGACTAACAAAACCTTTTTCTGGATATTTGGTCCATTCATAGACGGATTAAATAAGAGGAAAATTTGTTCTTACATGCACATCCGTGGTTTGTTGTCCCAAGAGCTGATCTTGTGCTCATTCTTGATGTTCAAAAAGTTGCCTTTGAGCAGCTTCCTACGAGTTTTTATTTCACGATTTTACTTATCAATGCAATGCGAAGGCCAGAAAGGTGATTACTGATTGCAATTGACCAGTGAAGATGGTCCTGGGCTTGCATAAAAAGTAAAACTCTAGACTAGATCAGTGGTACAACCTTCTGAGACTGGCATTGAAACTAAAGTTGAATTTTGATAACCTACAATTAAATGCTTATGCTGTTAATATATATATATATATATATATATATATATATTTGAATTACTATAACTTCAGAATCCTTGATAAAGTACTGAATATCAATTAAATGCAAGAAATTTGAATCATTATTGATTTCTGTTATCTGATAATTTAGTGTTTGTTTATATGTTTATTTCATTTGGCTTCAGAAGTGTGTAAATGATTTTAATATTCAATTAATTAGGCATGAAGCATAATATGCATTGGTTATGTTGATTTATGCATTGCTAGTAGTTTGGGAGCTTGAGTGATGTAATACTGACATCCATGCTGGTGTTCTGATGGCAGGGAAAATTGTTTTTGCCGCTCCTTCTCGACCGCTCGTAATGCAACAAATAGAAGCGTGCCATAACATTGTGGGAATACCACAAGTAGGACAACATTTTCATTCTCCTGTGACGTTCTTTGTTTAAATTATTGTTTCAGTTGGACATTGGCGTTATCAGAATCATTTACATAAGAAGATTCATATTAAACTGATTGCAGGAATGGGCAATTGATTTGACAGGTCAAACAAGTCCAGTGAGAAGAGCGTACTTTTGGAAAGCTAAACGAGTTTTCTTTGTTACTCCACAGGTGTTGGAGAAGGATATTCAATCTGGTGAGACTCTAAACTCTTGTTTCAATATATTTTGGATGAAGATTGAGTAAGTTATGAATAGCTATGTTATCTTGTAACTTTAAAATGCTGTAGAGGCATGTCTGAAATTTGGGCACATTGGTTGGTGTGCGTGTCAAGACTTTAGTTTTAGTTCTGGCTGATACTCATTTTTTTATTTTTTATTTTTTATAGTAAGCATGATACTCATTTTATTATTTAAGCTTGGGAACTACTGAAAGGATTTTTTTATTGAGGCTTTATAGGAGTATCTCACAGTTTCAGAGAGAAGATTAGTTGAAAATTGAAATTGTCCGAGTATCAGCTAATGCTTTGACAATGTGGATAGAGATAGAGATACAAATCACAATTCTAACTTTTGGAAAACATTCTGTTTGAAGTGAAGTTCTTAGTAAAAAAATTGTCAGTGGATGTGGAACTCAGAATAATGTACTCAGTGACAAATATGAAAGTTCCATTAGACATTTTAATATGACTGGAACATCTCCCCACCTCCCTCTTACTTCTTTGTCTTTGTTCCCTTCGCTTCAGCGGGTGGGGATTGTTATAATCTATTGAATAATGAAATTTATTCATTATTTAAAGCTGTTATAACACTGACTTTAGCTAAAGAAGGGTTTAAATCAACTACTTGGCTTCTGCTACCTGAGTTCCATCTTGCCATTGAACTGTATCCATGGCCATACATTTGTTAGATTGATACTCCATTGGACTCGAAAGAAAACACACGTGTCTATAAATTCATTAAGCAATACGGAGGAAGTATATCTATTTTCGAATCCAGTTTAATTTGTTTGTGTAGTCTTAAATCTGTATTAAGGAAGAATGTTGCAATCTCTAAACCCATTATCAAACCTGAACAGTTTGTGCAAAAAAGAAAGGGTAAATTAGACTGACACCCCTTCAAGTTAGGTCAAATCTCACATAGATGAGCATTTTGATTTTAACTTGCACTCGCATTTTGAAGAGTTGATTCATATTTCACTTACACCCCAAATGTCACTTTTCAGAGGTGTCAGAGTACTTTTTACATGCAAAATGACTATGCTACCCTTTGACTTACAAAAATGGTGTTTCAATTTTTTTATGATAAAAATACCCGAAAATATTGTGTGCATGCACCCATCATAGTCATTCTCAACAAACCACTAGAACCGACCACCACCCATCACCACCTACAACAAATATTTCAAGCAGGTTATAATATTAGTTAGGGCAACAGATTTGGAAAAAAAAAAAAAAAAAGATGAACAGGGGACAAAAAGGGTCTTCTTGTTGGAAGAGAAAGAGGAAAGGAAAGGGAAAATATGAAGTACGTTTTGGTTACAGGAGGTGTAGTTAGCGGTCTTGGCAAAGGAGTCACTGCAAGTAGTAGTGGCCTCATTCTTAAGGCCTGTGGACTTTTTGTTACTTCCATTAAGATTGGTCTGTTTTCATTCTTCTCCTTCTCTCTCTCTCTCTCTCTCTCTATATATATATATATATATATCTGCTTAACCACAACACCAAGATTGTAATCACAAAGAGATAAAGATTGCTTCTTCCTTATTTATTTTTAAATTTTTGCCCGATTTAGCCCTTTGAATTCTCCAGGTGTGCTTTTTTCTTATAAAATTTGTTTATGTTTGATGTTTTAATACTAAAAATGGTCTTTAAATTGCATAAAAAACAGGTCACTATTTCTAAATATATTTTTTTTATGTGATGATTGATGAGAGTCATGATACTGTAGAATGTGGATTTAAATTTTTTTTTTTTTTCACCAATACGAGTGAAAAAATTCTATATTTTTGTTATTCTATGCTTTATAGATGGGTTGTGCTGTTTTCTTCAATTCGATTCAAAATTTCCCATTTTTAGCGAAAACCCAGTAACCCAAATCCAGGTTTGGCTGAGAAACAGAGATGGGTTGTGCTGTTTCCAAGTCGAGTGACCAAGAAGACGACGTCTGTGTCCTTCTAGAGAAAGCGTTTGATAAAGTCAGCTGTGGAGCTCACTGCAAGTACAATCAATTGCTCTACACAGTTGCATTGGCCATAAGGTTGTTCGTAGCTCGTCATTCCTCTCCATCTTCCACCGTTTCTCATCACCTTCCCTCAACGCTCTGAGCCCAAAACAGGATCCATGTCGAACATTGGAAGCGGAGGGAAGTGTGAGAAGGTGTCAACTATGGCTGCAAGTTCAAGCTCTACGGCGTGGTATCACTTGCCAAAAATCCATTTCAATTCTGGTCATCCTATCAGTAGAAATATATAAAAAGAAGAGGAAGGAGAGAATTGCGTAAATGCTTGAATGATATGAATACTTATTCACAACTTTAGTATTTATAGATAAAATGAGCACATGCTCATATTACAAGAAAGGAAACTAAATCAAATCAAAATTAAATCACAACTTATTCTAAAGCATATTCTATGGCATATTCTATAGCATAGTCAAATCTCTGCTATTATGGTAAGTCATACCATAAATCGTGGTATCATATATGCTATTATATGCATGGTTAAATCTCTGCTATTATGGTAAGTTATACCATAAATCGTGGTATCATATATGCTAACACTCTCCCTCAAGTTGGTGCGTGGATGTCTGAAATGCCCAACTTGGACAATGCATTCTCAAACACAATCTTACTGACGCCCTTTGTAAGAATGTCTGCAAGCTGCTAAGAGCTTATGACAAATGGAGTGCAAATTTGACCAGAGATGATCTTCTCTCGAATGAAGTGACAGTCCACCTCTATATGCTTAGTCCTGTCATGCTTAACGGGATTTGCTGCTATGCTAATGGCAGACTTGTTGTCACAGTAGAGGGAGAATGGAAGCGACACTGGAAGGCATAAGTCTGTCACCAAGTTTTTCAGCCAAAGCAACTCACTTACCCCAAGAGCCATAGCCCTATACTCTGCCTCTGCACTAGATCGAGAGACAACATCCTACTTCTTACTGCGCCAAGTAACCAAGTTACCACCAATAGTGGTACAATAACCTAAAGTAGACCTCCTATCTGAAATTGATCCTGCATAATCAGCATTTGTCCAAGCCTCAACACATAAGTGACCATGATTGGCAAACAAAATACCACGGCCTGGACACCCTTTTAAGTAGCAAAGGATCCGAATAGCTGCATCAAGGTGTGGGGCACGAGGAGAGTGCATGAATTGACTCACGACACTCACGGCATAAGCAATGTTAGGTCGAGTTATGGATAAATAGATGAGCTTCCCCACAAGTCGTTGATACTGACCAATATTTGACAACTCCCCCTCACAATCAGCCAACCGATGATTCTGCTCAATCGGAGTATCAGCAAGACGAGCGCCAAGTTGACCAGAAGCAGAAAGCAAGTCAAGAACATACTTGCGTTGAGAGATGAAAATGCTAGTCTTGGAGCGAGCCACCTCAATGCCCAAGAAGTACCGTAGGGGACCAAGATCCTTAATCTCAAACTGACGACCAAGATAGCTTTTACCCTCATTAGTTCCGGTAGTATCATCGCCAGTAAGAATAATATCATCAACATACACATTGAGAGCAATTGTCTTACCGCCTGAATGACGTAAAAACAAGGTATGATCAGCTGCACTTTGATGGAAACCAAACTTGAGCATAGCAGTGCCAAAGTGATCAGACCAAGCTCGAGGAGACTGCTTCAGGCCATACAGAGAACGACGAAGACGACATACCATACCAGAGTGAGGAGGAGAACGAAAGCCCGGAGGAGGAACCATGTACACCTCCTCCTGCAAATCGCCATTAAGAAAGGCATTCTTGACATCTAACTGAAATAAAGTCTAAGATCGAATTGCAGCAACGGAAAATAATACACGGATGGTATTCATCTTGGCAACAGGGGCAAAAGTCTCCTGATAATCTATGCCACAAGTCTGAGCATAACCCTTGGCAACCAATCGGGCCTTGTAACGAGCAACTGACCCATCTGGATTATGCTTAACTGTAAACACCCAACGACAACCCACAGCCTTTCGTCCAATAGGAAGCGGAACCATGTCCCAAGTCTGATTTTTCTCAAGTGCTTGTAGTTCTTCTGTCATAGCATCACGCCATTGAGGTTGTGCTAGTGCATCTGCAACACTAGAAGGAACAGGAACCGAGGCAACAGAAATAAGAAAACTCCGATAGGAGGGTGATAGAGCATAATCAGAAACAAAATTAGAAATAGGGTAAGTACAAGAACGTTTACCCTTTCGAAGAGCAATGGGGCGATCATCAAGCGAAACAATAGCTTGAGAAGGTGGAGCTGGTGCCGAAGGAACAGGGTAGTCGATCGTGGGAGTAAAAGCTTGTACCTGTTGTCTCCGACTATAAACCTATGAAAAAGGAACAATTCCCCCTGCTGGAGGGGTATCACGAGGAGGAATCATAGAAGAAGAAACAGGTAATGGTAGAGGGGTTGAAGATGGAAGAAGGTGATCATCCATTATATTCAATGGGAACCATTCACTCTGAGAACCAACAGAACCACTATAGTATGGTGTATGCTCAAAGAAAGAAACATCCATGGATATAAACCGCTGACGACTGGGAGGATGGTAACACCTATAACCTTTTTGAGAATGAGAATAGCCCAAAAACACACACTTCAAAGCCTTGGGGTCAAGCTTTGTACGAGTTTGCCCTAACTGCTGAACAAATCGCACACACCCGAAGACTCGTGGAGGAATAAAAAAAAGAGAGGAATTGGGATGTAAGATTGAGAGTGGGGCTGCAAAGTTAAGAATCTTAGAAGGAGTCTTATTAATGATGTAAACAGCGGTAAGAATTGCATCTCCCCAAAATGACTGGGGAACATTTATGCCAATGCAGATTGCTCTGGCTAAGTCAAGGATGTGGCGATTCTTTCTCTCAGAACGACCGTTCTGTTGAGGAGTTTTAACATTAGCCATCTGATGCTCAATCCCAAATTCTGTACATAACCATTGTACCTCCCCATAAGTGTACTCTGTACCCTGGTCAGATCGGAATTTTTTAATGGTACGACCATATTGAGTCTGAACCATTGTCATAAAATTTTTAAAAATGGTGCATACCTCATTTTTGGTTTTCATAAGATAAACCTAAGTAACACGACTATGATCATCAATGAACAACACGAAATATTGAAATCCAAGACTAGAAGTAACTGGGCAAGGACCCCACACATCTGAATGAACAAGATCAAAAGGTGTGAAAGCAGATTTATTACTATTAGCAGGATAATTGGAACGAACATGTTTAGCCATATGACATGTTTCACAGAATAAATCTGACATTGCCACGTTACAAAATAAGGAAGGAAATAAATGTTTCAAATAACCAAAAGAAATATGTCCTAAATGCATGTGCCAACGCATAAGCTGGGCTTTATTAGATGAAACAATATTAGAAAAAGAAGCTGAATGTGCTTGAGGTGACAAAGGAGCATCCAACAGGTATAAACCGTCCACTTCACGCCCACTGCCAATCGTCCGTTTCGACACCAGATCCTGAAAAATACAATGAGAGGGAAAGAACGTTACACTACAATTTAATTGTTTGGTAACGCTACTAACAGAAATAAGATTTGTAGTCAACTTTGGAACATGAAGTGTATTTGACAAAGTTAATGAAGGAGTAACTGATATGTGACCCTTCCCAGCAATGAAAGATGGAGAGCCATCCGCAAGGCGGACCATGCGTTGGCCAGAGCAGATACTATAAGATTGGAAGAGTGAGGACATACCAGTCATATTGTCTGAAGCACCAGAATCAATGATCCATGGTGTTGAAGATGTAGATACGCTATGTGCAGACGCAATAGTACCTGAGTGGGCATAAGTGGAGGTTGGCTGAGATGATGCCTCCATTTGGTTGAAGAATTGCTTGAACTTGTCCAAATCAGCTTGAGTCAAGATAACTGTGGCAGAAGATGTAGAGGCAGGGTTGTCAGGAGTTGACAACGAGACTGGTTGTGTAACAGAATGTGCAGAGGATCGAGGCTGTTGTTTTTGTTGCGGTGGACGTCCATGTAGAGCATAACAATGAGATTTGATGTGACCAATTTTTCTGCAATGGTCACACCGTCCACGTTGTCGTCCCAGAGGAGGACCGATGGTAGTGCTCTGAACTGACTGGGATGGTGAAGTTCCTGAAAGGTCGGGAACCCGAACTGCCATAGTAGAATGATCAACAGAAGCAACACCTAATGGATGAGTCCGGCGGCTCTCATTTGATAACACATAGGAGTACGCATCCTCAAGAGTAGGGAATGAAGATAAGCCCAATAAATGAACACGAGCATACTCAAACTCGTCGTTCAACTCGGCAAGAAACTGAAACACTCGATTCTTCTCCACAATTCCTGCATATAAAACTGCATCATCTGGATCCTTCTAAGAGTGGAAGGAATCATAATATGACATCTCCTCCTAAAAAGCACGAAGCTTGGCGATGTAACCTGAAACTGTCAAGTCACCTTGAGAAATCCTGGTGATATCTCGCCCCAGTTGGAAAATTCGTGCATTATTCTGCCTCTGAGAATAAGTGCGTTGAACTGAATCACAAATCTGCTTAGCAGTCTTGATAAACGTATAGCTAACAGCTATGTTTGGTTGCATCGAATTGACTAGGCAAGACATAACCATAGCATTATCTGCAAACCACTGTGGATATGCCTTCTCTGACTCAGCTGGCTCTTTCTCAGAACCAGTAATATAACCAATCTTGCCTTTGCCACCAATGAACATCTTGGTAGATTGTGCCCAAATCAAATAGTTGGAACCATCCAACTTCACTGTGGTGATTTGAAGTCCTGGATTTTCTAATGAGTTGGTGGGAAAAATGGCACCACCACCCACAAAACGTGAGCCAGGAGAATTAATTGTCGAGGACCCTGAATCTGCCATAATCTGTCGTACGACAATAAAAAAACTCCAAAAACACCACAAATTCTGTTAATAAATCAAAGGGTCTCCTCAGACCATTCCCGAAAAATCCAAATACATACCTTTTTAAGGAGCGCTGCCCGCTTACATATAGCCAGACAGCCTCCTTCTTAATATTCGGAATCTCTTTGTAGACTAATTATTTTTTACCCAAGCTCTTCTAGGTGTTGGAAACCAACTATCCCAATTTACCCAACCCTAGAAGAGTGAAAAAGAAATTCTAAAACTTAAAAATACCTGTTTTCGATCACAAAACAGCAAAACAGAAAAACACGTGTAGGCAACGTCATACGATGTCACAAACAGCCTAAGGTAGCTGTCGCACAAGTAACAAGGCTGCTGAAAGGTGTGGAAAGGTGTTGGCTCTGATACCAAGTAGAAATATATAAAAAGAAAAGAAACGAGAGAATTGCATAAAGGCTTGAATGATATGAATTACTCATTCACAGCTCTAGTATTTATAGATAAAATGAGCACATGCTCATATTACAAAAGAGGAAACTAAATCAAATCAAAATCAAATCACAACTTATTCTAAAGCATATTCTATGGCATATTCTATAGCATAGTCAAATCTCTGCTATTATGGTAAGTCATATCATAAATCGTGGTATCATATATGCTATTATATGCATAGTCAAATCTCTGCTATTATGGTAAGTCATACCATAAATCGTGGTATCATATATGCTAACACTATCTGTTCCGGTGACTTCATTCCAATTGCTCGAACTGTGATTACAAGTGATATATATATGTTTGTGTAAATAGATAGAGAGAAAAGAGAAAGAGAGACAGAGTTATTTGGTGTGTGGGTTTTGTTAGAATAATAAATTGGGGCATTTTTGGCATTTAAGATTATAGATATTTTTTATTAAATTGTTTTAAAAAATTAAGGGTAAATAGGTCAATTTGCATGTGTCAGAGCTCAAAAAATAATTTGGGATGTAATTGAAAGTTAAAACCAAAATGTTCATCTATGTGAGATTTGACCCAACCTGAAGGGGTGTCAGTGTAATCCCCCCCCCCCCCCTCCCCCCCAACAAAATATATATATATATATATATATAATATCATCTTGAACAGTGCCAAACCATTTATTTTTGAAAACAAGATTTAAATATGTTATAAAACATAAAATTTCTTGAGACATGTTTGCTACTAATCAAATCAGTTTTGAATTGAAAATAAGTCTGCGGCTGTAGGATTTTGAAAGGCTGCAGGATTTGAGGTTAATTAAAAATTAACCAAAAACAGAGTAATTAACATTTTTAAGCGAAATATAATTGCATGATTTTTTTAAAAATAAATTTGTAGGTACATGTTTGGTGAAACAACTAGTGTGCTTGGTGATTGATGAGGCTCACCGAGCATCGGGAAATTATTCCTACTGTGTAGCAGTTCGTGAGGTTTGTCATTTCATTCCCTTCTAGTCATCCATGAGCATATTTATTGTCTGCCTGCCCTCATTTTCTATGGATATCTTTTACTGATTATGATATTAATGGTGCTTTGAATTTGTAGTTGATGGCTGTACCTGTGCAGCTCAGAATATTAGCTTTAACTGCAACTCCTGGATGTAAGTTATTCATCATCTTGCTAGGCTTTCACAATATTTTTGTAGATTTGACATCTTAGATCCTTATTTTTAAATGTGATTATTCAGCGAAGCAGCAGATGATACAGCATGTTATTGATAACTTACAAATATCGACACTTGAATATCGAAATGAAAGTGACCATGATGTGAGTCCATATGTGCATGGCAAAAAGATTGAATTAATTGAGGTATCTACTAATTTCTATGCGGAGATTTGTAGTTGTATAATTCAATTTAATTCAACTCAACAAAATCTTTTCCCATTTATTTGGGATCTGATGAAATTTAGTTTTCCACATTCATATTATCTCATTAGTTTGAAATTATCATCGCAATGCTGCTAGGTCGCTATGGGGCAAGATGCTGATGAAATAAATAATCTGCTTTCGGAAGTAATACGCCCATTTGTTGCTAGGCTTTGTGCAATCGGGGTGCTCCAAAATAGAGACTTCCAGACTGTAAGATTTCTTTTATACTATAATTATTATAAATTTATTTTAACATGTGGAGTGGTACAGTTGCATTCACTTGCTTTCATTCGTTAGAATTGCACTTATGCTGTGATTGTTGGAAAATTTTGTTGTGTTAATTGATTTCTTGAAAGAAAAGGTTGCTGTGAACGTTTTATATACAGGAGTCCACCCTTTGTCAATAGCGATGATAGTCTTGGTAGATTTTACCAAATTGACCAGACTTCTAAGCACTGCTCCCATATTGCTATGAGATTGCTTCACAGATCTTGTATCAATGTCGTGCAGTTTAGGATACTTCTAAACCTGCATTGATATTTCATCAAGTGATGAAAGAAACCTCAGAATGTGCTCATTATTTTTATACTGTAAACAATTGTTTGGAATAGGAAAACCAATTTAAAGAGGCAAGGTGACTAGGCGACATTCAAATTTGATATGCTTCAATTCAAAACTATCAATCATTTGTGAAGTGGTTGCTTGCTGTATATAATCACACATCCTAGAAGCCAGCCACTATTATGAAAATTGTTTTCTGTAATGAAAGGTAACTTACAGGATTTTTAAAAAATATTTAAACAACTTCTTCAAATATAGTTGCTTGTTTAACACTGTGATTGGGACTTTTTTTTTTGTTTTTGTGTGTGTGTGTATTGCAAGATTTTATCCCTTACGTGCCAATGATTTTCCAGCTTATTTTCTTTTTCTTCATCCAGCCATTTGTGGCTGTACGTATATGATTTTCAGTGACGGACCCAGAAAATTTGGTGAGGAGGGGCGAATTTTTAATTTGTGGGTACAAAATTATATAATGGGTTTATTTTTGTAATTTTAGTAGGGTTTTTTTCATAAATTTTAAAAAAATTTAAGTATAAAATGAAAAAAAAAAAATTAGTGGGGCAAATTATAATTATAGTGGGGCATCTTCATAAATTATCAAAATTTGAAGTATAAAATGCTAAAAAAAAAGAATCCAGTGGGGGCGAATTGTAATTTTAGGGGGGGCATTTTCATAAATTTTAAAAACATTAGGGTATAAAATGAAAATATTAAAAATTCAGGGGGGGCATCTGCCCCCCCTAGTCCCCTGCTGGGTCCGTCCCTGATGATTTTGCTTGCTTTTCCATGCATTTCTGAAAATTAGCATATTTGCTTGTGTTACATGCCTAGTTTCTTTTTTTAAAAATTTGTCTTTTATACATGACAGTTAAGTCCGTGTGATTTACTTAATTCAAGGGACAAATTCCGTCAAGCACCGCCACTGGACCTGTCCCACATGAAATATGGAGAAGTAGAAGGATGTTTTGGAGTTCTTATTACACTTTACCATATTCGGAAGTTACTTTCAAGCCATGGAATAAGGCCGGCATTCGAGATGCTTGAAGAAAAATTGAAACAAGGGTATTTCTTCGTTCAGCCTTAAATAAAGCACTATTTCGATTTCCAAACATTTCAATTCCAGGAAGTTGTGTTTGATGATCAATTTCAAATTAAAGGGATAGATTGTTTTCTTTATTTTCGACAGCCTTCCCTATTGAAGTTATTTGATGGAGAAATTCTGCAGGAGAAGAATAATAATAGGGGAAAAAGAATGCGTAAGCTTTGGTGTGAGAGCACTGAGCATTATATATTTAAGTGATGGATATTAGAAAATATCTCCAACTCTTTTGACTTATTATGGTAATACCCAACCCTCCCCTTCAAGCTGTAGCATAGATATTTATCATTCCCAACATGTTACATAATTCCGAAAAATGTAACTTTTCCAATGCCTTGGTAAGCACATCTCCTAATTGATCTTTGGAGTTCACATTACTACTATTACTACCATAAGAACACGATTTTCACAAATCATTCTCATAGGCCTATTGTTTGAAAACCACATTTTTTTTTTTCGCGGAAGAGACTTTACCTGCATCATTTTGCAAGTTGTATGTGCCATTGCCCTATACTCTGCCTATGCACTTGATCTCGCTAGAACATTTTGCTTCTTACTTTTCTATATTACCAAATTACCTCCGACGAATATGCAATATCTAGATTTAGATCTCCTATCTATTTGGTATCCTGCCCAATCTCCTATCTATTTTGCTTTTATTTTTTATTTTAGTTTATTTATTTATTTATTTTCCCAGTCGCTAAATCAAACACACATATTACTAGTAGAGAAATTAGGTTGTGAGATGGAATCACTAGAAGCTGGATGATCATTTGTTACTGAGTAATGAGAAGAGACACTTTCAAAAGAGATAACTGCTTGATTTGCTCAAGTGGATTTTTCATATAGTCCTAGCAAATATCAATATTATGATTGGTACTATGACAATACCCACAATAACATGCTTCACCACGTCTGTTGCTACTGTGATCACAACCACCATATCCTTGTGTGCCACCCGTATTTCCTTCATATCCACAATTACCACCAAAATTACACTTTCATTGTAGAATATTGTCAACCAGATGAGGTCAATAGTGCTGAATTTTCCCGTTTAGCTGATTTTGGGGTAATGATTCAACAATTTGAAGTAAACTAGCATAAAGATTACCCTGAGATGCGAGTCCTCCATCACTAGCAAGTATTTGACCAAGAATGGCCTGTTGATCTGAATCTAAATCCACAAGAAATATGGAGATATAAAATTCTTGATGCTGTCTTTTTAAAACCTCAATATAATTAGTCAATGGGTGTATTGACTTATCTAACAATCCTTTGAAAGCACCGTAATATTCTCCTATACTATTCTCTGCTTATCTAAAAAGAAATTCTTCTCATACAAAGAGTAGATTTGACAAACATTTCTATCCTAATTTTCAGCCAAGACTTCTTTGTAGTGGGCATCACCTTTTGAAAGAGGGATCAAGCTACAATGATCACGTGTTGAAGAATCGATTAGGAATCCACAAACATAGATGATGTCTTCGGTTAAATGATGGTTGCTGTGCGATGACCAAATCTCAAGAACTGAAATCAAATATTGCGCCCTAACCTAGAGGAAGTCAATCGACTATCTAGGGTTTTGGTAAAAACCGACCATCAGAGATCTTGAGTTTTGGCCAGAGTTGATAATCCCTTTTTTACCATGTTGAAGTTATTTGATTGAGTTTGTGCTCCGGTGTGAGAGCACTAAGCATCACATACATAAGTATTGAATATTACAAAATAATCCCAACTCTTTCTACTTATTATGCTATTACCCAAATTCCCCATGTAAGGTTGATTCACAATCATTTTGGCAAAAGTTCTTCGATATCCAAGCTTTTACTCAAGCACTGAAATTTGTCATTTGCTAATGTTAGAATCTTTATTGCTACTGGTATGTGGTCAGACTGTTTTATGTAACTGGGAACGGGACCAATCCTCCTTGCGGCGGAAGAGATTGGAACTCGTCTTCACCCTGATTTTCTTTAGGGAGGGGTGTGTGAGGATAGAAAGTTCTGCATATTTCCATCTCCCAAATATGAGTTGATTTCCAGGCAGACTGAGTTCTGATTACAGGCTTTTGAGTTGACCTTTACATATTTCCTTTAAAAGTTACATGTTCTTTGTTTCTATTACGTTTTCAAGTGTTTTAAAAAGTGTTAAGGTTGCTACCATCCGAGTAGTTATTTAAGCTCAATTTTTTGCAGGTCTTTTGCACGACTTATGAGTAGAAATGAAGTTATCTGGAAAGCAAAGCTTTCAATGCAGCATAGCTTGTCTCATGGTGCTCCTAGTCCGAAATTGTCAAAAATGTTGGAAGTACTGATTGATCATTTCAGTATGTGGCATGCCATCTTACTATTATGTCATTTAATGCTGCTTTGGATTTGTGATCAAATGTTTTTTGCTTTTTGTCTCTACTTCATAGGTCATACTGATATTTTTGTGGACTACTCACATACTTGTTCGTTTGTAAGAAGTTCCATGGCAATAATATGGAAGTCAATTTTTTAACCAACTTAACTGGTTTTATATTCAGTTTTCTTTTCTGGATCACCAAAACTTACATTTTTAGTTTGTTCACGTTAACAACCATCTACTCTAAAATCTTAAGCTATTAGAGAGGGTGTAACTTAAATATATAAATCCTTTAACGCGCCCCCTCATGTGGCGTTCTTTTGGTCCAACACGTGTTTTCTTCAATTTTTTAATTAGGGTGACGATGAGCTTTGAACTCGAGACCTTTGGCTCTGATACCATGTTAACAACCATCTACTCTAAAAGCTTAAGCTATTAGAGAGGGTGTAACTTAAATCCTTCAACAGTTCACATAAATCCTTACACTTCACTTTTAGTAATCATCCTGATCGGTGGATGGTGGGAATTTGTGACTGAATTATGGATTGCATCTGAGAGTTCACAAAATTGAACTGAATTTCTCTTAGTAATTTTAAAATTATAAGAGGCCAAAAAACAGGTCATCATACCTAATGCTGATCCTGTCTTTGTGAGTGTTGAGAAGGAAAGACTGGAGACAGTCCTAACTTTTAGCATTACTTTTCACGAAATGCCTGCTCTGTTCAACCCGGTCCTCATGCATGGTGGCATGAGCTTTTACCATTTTAACTAGCAATGACCCCTATGCCAAACCTGTTTATTAAGCCAATATAACCAGGCAGTCATGTCTAAAAAACAAATTTACTGATTCACTTTGTCATCTGTTTTTCTTTCATCGTGCATTTAAATGTGTCTCTTTCACCTGGAAAATCTTCTCATTTGAATGTACCATTATTCAACTATTCAATTTTTCTACGATATGAATGTTCCTTTACCCTGTTGTTCAAGATAGAATAAGAGTTTCGTTATTGTTGATTTTGTGCTCAATACTATTGAGCATTAGATTTAACTAATATGTATTTTTGTTTATTGGTAGAATAAAAATTGCTGAGTATTAGATAGGTGTATATTCAATGCTAATTTGGTTTTCTTATCTGACTGAAAGAAAGAATATTTGTTGTTTCTGGAGATTTTAAATTTGTTGTTTCTGGAGATTTTTATACTGAATGTTCTATTGCAGAAACAAAAGATCCACAAAACTCAAGGGTTATCATTTTCTCAAACTTTAGGGGAAGTGTCAGGTGATGATGATACATTGGTATATTCAGAACTTCATTTTGTTTTCATGCTGACTTCAGACAACCATTTTGAATTGTTGATGGATTGTCTACCTCTACCTTTTTTTTTGTAACAAAAAACTTTATCTACCTTGGCTTAATAACATCACTTCAGGGACATAATGGACGCATTGGCAAAAATTGGAGAGTTTGTTAAAGCAACCCAGTTTATTGGCCAAAGTTCAGGTTTGTATTCCTGTTCCTTTGCTCTTTGATGTGTTTTATATTCCAGAATATGTAAATTCCTGTTTGTTTGTTTGCTTGCTTTTTTTTTTTTTTTTTTTCGTGACAGCTCGTTTGTATATTTGGAACTGGCAGTTTTGGTAATGATTGGTTAAGTTAGATTTTTATTTTTTTTATATAACTCAGTTTTATGAAACTTCCTTCCCGCAAACTGGATCGGCTGCATGAGCACATCATTTGTCTGGGGTAATATACATAGTACCATGGGCAACCCTATCTTTTCTTACAGCTTCAATCTATGTTCTTTTCTTTTTGTCCTCCCCTAATCTATGTAGCACCTTTGACATGTAAACATATCAGTCTGCAATTACAGCGATATCCAATGTAACATTTACATTTACAAGCCTAGCTAAATTGTGTTTGGATTAGCCTCATTCTTTTCTCATGCATCATTATTAGACTTGGTCTAAGTTCATCAACTAAGGGCCTGTTTGTTACGCGTTTTGTTTTTGGTGTTTTTGTTTTTGTTGGGCACTATAGCACTAATCTTCTGTGAACTGATTCTTATTATAGTTATTTACAGGAAAAACATTAAAGGGGCAGTCACAAAAAGTCCAACAGGCTGTTTTGGAGGTAATGCTTCTACTTTCTATTGCCTTTTAACTCTTTGCATTGACTCTCTGGATTCCTCTGCAGAAATTTCGAGCTGGTGGATACAATGTAATTGTTGCAACATCAATTGGCGAAGAAGGTCTAGATATCATGGAAGTTGATCTTGTCATAAGTTTTGATGCTAATATCTCTCCTTTGAGAATGATCCAGCGCATGGGCAGGACTGGAAGGAAGCATGATGGACGAGTTGATATCCTTCTATCATCTAGTTAGCGTCCGGAGTAGATTGTCAATGTAATTTAAAAAGAGTGCAAGTTCTTCAATATAAATATGTGTATATATATATATATATATATATATATATATATATATATATATATATTCGTTAAGTCAGTTCTTCAATATTTTATTTCTTCACTTCTCCAGGTTTATGCATCATTAAGACATTTTGAAAGTTTTGGTATGACTATTCAAAATATTCCTTAACAAGTTTTACTAGTTTTAGCTTGTGAAGGGTCAGAATTGAAGGGGTACATGAGAAAGCAAGCAAATAGCAAGTCTATTAAGAAACATATGCGAAATGGGGGTATGAATAGCTTCATTTTCCATTCTAGTCCAAGGATGGTAAGCTTTATGAGATGAGGTTGTGTAATAGTTCCTGCATTTTGCTGTTACCGTGTTCTTAACATTATATTCTATTTTGTTCTATGTGTAGGTTCCCCATATTTTCAAACCAGAAGTTCAATTCCATGAGATGTCCATTGAGCAATTCATTCCTCGTGGAAAGAAAGGAAAAGAAGATCATCCTGTCCAGACACCTGAGTTCAAAGCCAAACTAACTGACTCTGAGACTCAATTAATTGCAAAGTATTTCCACCCTACCATAGGGAATACATGGAGACCCTCTCTTATTGCATTTCCTCATTTTCAAGCATTTCCCTCCAGAGTGCACAATGTAATGCATTCATTCAGAACGGGGATGCTTATTGATATAATGCAACGATTGGAAGGATTCTCATTCTCTAGTGACAGCAAAGCTTCCTTTGTTGAGGTTTGCTGCTGATTTTTGTTCAAGAGTTGTCTTTCCATTTTTTTTAATTTTAATTACTATTAAATATCTCAATAATTCAGGATGAGGCCTCTTCAGATCTATGCTTGAGAGTTGAACCCGTTGAGCCGCATCACAACACTACGAGAGGTAACTCCATATTTGACAGCTCAAAAGGATTGCAGAAAACTAACTGTATTGCATACTGGGTCTCAAGTAGGATTGTTGCAAATCTTTTTATGCCGCGGCATAAGAAAGTTTTTTATTATATTCTATTTTTATGGTGGGAAACCATTAAAACTGAATTAAAACATACTGGCTTAATTATTCAATTTCTGCATCTACATTCAAACTTATGCATGCTCATGGATTTGAAATTTTGAATGGTGTTTTTAGAATTTTAGGCCGCTTGTTCATCTGAAAGAAATCATAATTTTTGCGTAATGATTTTATCAAATTACAAAAAGTTTTAAATGGCAGATAGAAACTGTATTTGAATATATATCTTACTAGTTTTCTTCTTCAATCTGTGGCTTCATTTTTTTGGGGGCACATAAATGATATATGTCAAAATTATCAGCTTACTACACCATTTCCTGTAACTTTCTGTCATATACGCTTTCCCAGCTCACCAGTGTGCCCAACATGCCTTGGGACTGTTGTCTCTGTTCATTTCCCTGCAACATGGATTGCAGGCATTATTATTTTCTCTTTCCTTTTAATATAGTTCCCTCAACTGGTGAAAGAATATTTGTAATCATGTTCAATATTCAAATGCCTTTTCTTATCTAACTTTCTAAAGTTCTAATGACTGGCTTCACACTCCTGAACTTGACTAATAACTTGGTCAAGTCAACTTATAGGCCTTTCACTTTTCTAAGAGAAAATAAGAAAGAAAAAATCAAAAGCAAAAATAAAAGAAAAAGAAAAATAAAAAGAAAAAGAAAAAGAAAGAAAAAAACTGTCTTCCAACAAGGTGACCAAGGGCATACTATTTCTGTATGACTTGATGAGACTTGCCCCTTTTCTTTTCTTGGGAACTTGAATTTTTGCATTCAATCTAGTTACAAATTGCTTTATATTTAACAATGTTAATCTACAGAAAGAGGAAAGGCTGAAAGGGGAAAAATAAATGTTTCTATTCTCCAAATACTCTATTAGAGTTTCACAGCAACCTTAAGTCACCTTTATGGTTTTGCTCCATAAATTTTCAATTTCTGCCCATCATTTGAGTTTCATATAAAAAGGAAAAAGTTGCCCAGTTCGAAATTCCAAGTCATCAAGGTGTGACAATACTGTTGTATGCTGTTCCAATTGCCTGTCATTTCCTTTTTCAAATGAAAAGGATTTATAACCTTTTTGGATTTACTTACCCAGGGAAAGCTTTTGTTGCAAATTGCGACTTTTATCTACCAAGTATTTGGACTTATTATTTTTAGCTTTTGAAGAAAGTACTACGGTTGTGCTAAATATTCCAGGCTCATATAAGATGATGGATTTAATTCAATTGGAGGGCAATTTGGGCAATTTAAGAATTAAGATTGCCCACCTAATTAGAAATTGACTAGAATTGCTGGTTGTGCCTTTAATATACATGCCTTTAAACACATACATTCACACACACACACACACACACGCACACAGTTATTATAATCATATATGTATTTTCAAACCCTAACGAAGGTCTTGCATATTTAGTTCTTCAGTTACTCCATTTGGTTCTTCAGTTACTCCATTTGGCCAACATTCCATTGTTTTTGAGTTCTATATCCATTAGCTACTCTGATGTGTTACCTAAATTTGGAAATTTTCAACATGGAGTATGTAGAGATCATTACCCAAGGCTCTGATACAGTGATATGTCAGAGTATAGACAGCTTTTATTGACCTAGAGGGGGATTGGATATGTCTTATGGATTTTAAATTTATGAAATAACTATCTTTTCAAATTTTCATGATCAATTTTACATTTGATTAATTGTTCACGTGTTTCAGCATCAATAAAAAACACATAAAAGCAGTAAATAAAATAAAACAGAGAAACAAGATTTTTTGTGTGGAAAACTCTAGAAATGGAAAACCACGGGACCTAGTCTAGGCAGATCAACCCACTATGAAGAATGGTTTACAACTAGGTTAACCAGACTATAACACAAGAATCCCCTACTCACATTTGATCCAGACTCATGCCGGAATTCCTACCCGATCTTTGCTGTTACTAGTTAACGGACTAGCTCCTCACACCGTCCACTCTTCCTCTACTGCTTTATATCCAATTACTAGTCATGCCCGTTCAACTTGTTCTTTTATGAACCACCCGGTTGATGCTCTGTTTGGTAGTTTCTATTTTGCTTCTTGCATTGATTCTCTCAACACATAGAGTTTGATGTTTGATAACCTTAGATTGATTCCCAAAGTTCTCTCTCTAAAAGATGTAAATCATCTCAATAAAATGTAAAGAGTTAAAAGGTCTGTGAGAGAAAAACCTAGACTGACTATAACCCCATATTTGTAGCCAATATAGGAATCTTATATAGAAGAGTAAAATATATCCTTAAAAAATTTCCTGTTCTATCTATTGGAGAGGATGGGTTTTGGTGAGAGATGGAGGAAGTGGATTGTTTCTTGTGTTTCCACTGTCAGGTTTTTGGTGTTGGTGAATGGCTCTCCTTCGGGGTTCTTTGGCAGTTCTCGTGGGTTGAGACAGGGGGATCCTCTCTCCCCTTTTCTTTTTATTATTGTTATGGAGGCCCTTAGCAGGCTGATGAGAAGGGCGGTGGATTTGGGTTTTCTTAGGGGTTTCAAGATTGGCCCTGAATCAGTTCAGCAGTTGGAGATCTCTCATTTACTTTTTGCGGATGACACTATTGTTTTTTGTGAGGCTGATGTATCCCAGTTGAGGTATCTGAGATGTGTCTTGGTTTGTTTCCAGGCTGTTTCTGGTTTGAAAGTAAACGTGGGAAAGAGTGTGACTGTTCTTGTGGGGGAGGTTCAGGAGGTGGACACTCTGGCTGCTGTTCTAGGGTGTGGGACGCAACGCTTTCCCATCTCGTACTTGGGTTTGCCACTGGGGGACTCGGCTAGGAGGGTGGGAAGTTGGAACCCGGTGATTGAGCGGGTCGAGAGAAGATTAGCGGGTTGGAAAAAACAATATCTGTCAAAGGGCGGTAAAGTTACGTTAGTGAAGAGCACTTTGTCAAGCCTTCCAACGTACTTTCTTTCGCTTTTTTGTATTCCAGCCTCTATTGTTGGAAGACTAGAAATGCTCCAACGTAATTTCCTTTGGGGGGGTCGCGGAGAAGAGTTCAAGTATCATCTTGTCAAATGGGAACAGGTTTGCAGGCCTATTCGGTTGGGAGGGCTTGGAATTAGGAGATTGGCCCTTTTCAATTGTGCTCTTCTTGGTAAGTGACTTTGGAGATTTGGTAAGGAAAGACATACATTATGGAGAAGGGTTATCTCATGTCGCTTTGGGGAGGAGAGAGGAGGGTGGTCAGTTAGACCAGTCAGGTCTGTTAGCGGAGTGGGGGTGTGGAGGGCCATTGGTAAGGGGTGGGTTGCCTTTTCCAAACATATTAGATTCAGAGTTCGGGATGGAAGAACTGTCCGGTTTTAGGAGGATCCATGGTGTGATGATAGGCCTTTGGCCCTATTGTTTCCCAGGCTTTTCAGGATTGCTGTTGACAAACATGCTATGGTTGCTGACTACTATCGCCTTGATAGTGGAAGGTTGTCTTGGGATGTGCGTTTCCGGCGAGCTTTTCAGGATTGGGAGCTGGATGATGTCACTGGGTTTTTGGCTCTCCTTTACGGACAGGAGGTGGAGGGGTCTGGGGCAGATTCCTTGATTTGGGTGCCTTCTTCTCAGGGGATGTTCCAGGTCCGGTCCTTTTTTGTGTGCCTTTCTGGTTTTCATGGTACCTCATTCCCATGGAAGACGGTGTGGAGGTCTAAGGCGCCTCTTAGGGTGGCCTTTTTTGTGTGGACTGCAGCTTGGAGTAAGATTTTGACTTTGGACAATTTGAGGAAGCGAAGGCATATCATTGTTAATAGGTGTTGTCTTTGCAAGATTAATGGGGAGTCGGTGGATCATCATTTGTTGCACTGTCCTGTGGCTCATGATTGTTTGAGTTTGATGTTTGGCCTGTTTGGTATTCATTGGGTCATGCCTCGGTCATCTTGGGAGTTGTTAGATATGTGGAGGGGCCAATGGGTGGGGGCTCAGGCCAGAGTTTTTTGGAGGGTGACCCCTTTTTGTATTTGGTGGAGCCTTTGGAGAGAGCGTAATGGAAGATCTTTTGAGGGAAAGGAATCCTCCATTGGGGTGTTAACATTTTCTATCATTTGTAATTTGTTTTGTTGGGGTCAGGGGAGAGACTACTCCTCTCTTGAGGATATTGTTGATTTTATGAGCTCTTTGAGTTCATAGGCTCCGTTTTGTCTTTGTATAGTTTGGGACGCGTTCCCCTTTTGAACGCTTTTAATACAATTTACTTATCAAAAAAAAAAAAAAAAAAAAAAATTTCAATTTTGAGATAGATTCCATAATTATCATGATGTTTGATCAACCTGGACTTCAATCAAGCAATACTGGTATTGCTTTGAACACCAACACTTTGATTGAGCGCCACTATCCAATTTCGGTCGATCGAGCATTCAATGGAAGCATGCATAGTTCAACAATAAAAACTTTTCTGAAAATATTTTTTCGATTGAACCTTTTCAAATTTGCAAAAATTTCCTGTTCAAAATCTTATTCAATCTCTTTAAAAAATTTCATGATCAAAATCCTAATTTTGAGAAACATGCTTGAAACAATACTTTGAGCCTTTAAACTCTAAAGATCATAACTAAGTCATAAATGGTTTCTAAGGTCTCAACTTCTTTTGGTTATAGACAAACGACTCAAGACATGTAGCAAAATTTACATCCCATGTTGAGTAGGAATTTGCCTACATGTGACTTAGTAACTTAACACAACATTATGCAGTGCTTGGTTTTTTCCTTTCCTATTCCTTTCAAGTTATGCTCCTGCTGGTTAGAATTGATAATATGGCTTTAAATTTTGGGCTGTAAATTGTGTCTTGCTTTATAGCATGATGGCTGCCAGCTTCTGCCCCAAAATTTGTACAATATTATTTGGAAGATGTATGCTATTCCACATTCTTTCAGATTCAAATCTAGTATTTTGCTTACAAAAACCTGTTTCAGATTTACAGAATTGTAACAATTCCCAGGAAGAAGAGCATTCACTAAGAGTAGCATCAGATTCTGATGTACCTATGGAGTGCACAAGAACTCAGGAGAAGCATTGTATGCCAAGTTTTCAAGATCAAAATCCTGCCACCCACTCCTACCTGTTTGGATCAGATTTTGTGTCTGTTGATGCTCTTGGAAGAGTACTGGTTGTATCTGTACCCCTTCTTCCTTTGAAAGAAGATTCAGATTCTAACTGTACAACTGCAAGCAGTACAGCGTTGTTAAACTATTTGAAGGAAAATTCTTTTCATTTAAAGGCTTCACCGGGAAATTGCAAAGAAAATACTATGCAAGTAAAAGCTGTTTGTGACCCAATAGCTTCCACTCATACAATTTGCATGGAGTTTGAAAATCTGCCAACATCTAGATTTTGCAACCCTGGTTCCCAGCTAGAGAAATTACTGGATGTGACTGAGGGAATTCTTGTGACTCCAATTTCTAAAGGAAATATATCAAATGAAGGAGATAGCACTGGCGAGACACCTAATGTTACAGTAAACAAAACCCCCATGCTATTAGCTGATGAGTCCGACATTGATTTTGGAGAACTTGAGCTAAGTCCTCGGCTAACTAGTTTTATCAAGAGTGGTGTTGTTCCAGAGTCTCCTGTACATGAAGCTGGTCAGTATTTTTTATCTAAAACATTCATGTTGCATTTGTCATCTAAGTACTGTTGCTTACATCTGAATTATCATATACTGACTGACTTCACTGAAAAAATTTCTGGATCTTTCAGGGATATCCAAAAATAAGGGGAGAAGTGTGTTCATGGTTGAAGACCTTGTTTCACCCCCCAAATTAGATTCTGAACTGTTATTGAAGTCTCCAATGCCCATTCAGAATGCAAAGCCAGTTACGGACAGTAGTGCTAGTGGAAAAGACATTCCAGTTTCTTCTGTTATTAATGAAATTCAAATTCCTTTAATCAATGTGAAAAATAGTTCCCCAAGAGGATGCATCCCTGCTTTTCCAGTTGAAGAAATCAGAACACCTTCAGCAAATTTGGCAAACAATAGCTGTAGCAAAGATTGGGGTTTGAGTTATGGAAACAAGTCAGGAAGTGTTCAACAGGAACCCAAGTTTAAAAGATTGCGCAAGTTTGCAGATCTTGGCAAAAGGACGCCTCCAGAAGGCAAGGAAGAAAATATTGTCCCTGCAGCAAACCTAGCCACATCTTGTGCAAGTACTAGTCCTGGCCTGCTTAGGCGCCGAGGTAAACTGAAATTCATGCTTGATGTACATTTTAAGTGTTTATATCTTTACATTGGTTCCTTCTCCTGTCGGTATTGGGCACTAATATTGTATCTCATCTTTTCCTAGGAACTTGTAGTTTTGTCTATCTTTCCCGCTTAATTGAAGGTTTATAATTTTTGAATTGCTTAGAATTGCAAGTAGTCTGTGGACCTGTTTTCCTGATAAATAATATAGCATCTTTTGCTGCATTCAGGTAAGAAGAATCTTATAAAGGATGCCAGAGCCTTTATTGAAGAGGAAGCTGAGTAAGTCTATGGTTAGATTAACTAAGATAGCATGCTGTCAGATGATGCTTACCATTTTGAACTTTACATTTAGTGGATCGATGGGTGAAAAAATTTGTTCAATGACCAAACTCAGATGAAAATTTACTCTTTAAAAGTAATAAGGATTATTTATTTATTTTTGGGGAATGAAGGGTGTCTCCACCTAATAATCCATTTGGATACCCGCAATCACCCTAAAACATCAGGTATTGGGTAAGTTTCAGGATGGATTCTTAACAACCCCCAGGAGTCGCAGGTTATTGCCAAAGGCCTCATGCCAACTCAGCTCTCTCATGGGGGTTAACAGTAAATAAAAAATTTTTGTGGCAGTATTTTTTTTTGTTCCTGATTTGCTATTATTTGGTTATGTTCAGGGTATCTTCTGAAGTTGCAGTTTCTGATGATGAGGAATATGAGCAGGACACTAGTTCATTTGATGATAGTTTCATAGATGACAGGATATATCCTACGGAAGCAAGCACTCAGGCTGACGCTAGTAGAAGTGGCATGATGGCGATTTACAGGTTTGTTACTTGCTTTGCCTCTATCTCATTTATGTGTGTTGTCTTTCTGTTCTTTTCTTCTCTCTCTTGTTGGTGTGTGGCTGTGCTTTTTCCGGTGCATGCATCTTATTAAGATTTTAACCTTTTTTCAGACATTTTCAGCACTACTAGAATCCAATTTTTTATGTTGTTAGAAGGATGAACTTACAAGTCAAATACTGTAAGTTCATCGTGCTTTTATATGCCCAATACTATAACTACATAAAAATATTGATGGAACATGTTCTGAATTTGTTATCTTTTAATTGTTCCACATTTACTTTTCCTTCTTCAATTTTATTTTTATTTTTATTTTATTTTATTTTTCTTATGGTTCTATTTGTGTACTCAAAGTGTCAACTGCAAATGAGCTGAATTGTACTGCATGAATATATAATATTCTTTTTTATCAGAAAAGTGATCACTATTCAAAAATTATATACACTATAATTATCAAGGTTCTGTCTGAGGTTAAATTATAAATACATATATACACACACACACATTTATATATATGTACGGAGAGGGCAGGAACTTATGAGTCAAAAACAATGTTTTTCTCTACTTCTTCAACGATTACTGTACACCCAATTCATAGAACTTTTACGTTGTCATCGAGTGATTTGATTACATGTGTGAGATGAGTAGTAGTCTGGTAAAAGTAAATTTTAGCATTTGTTCTTGTATTCCTCACACCATCATCCCTGGTTGGAAAAAATAGATTCTGTGACTGAGTAGTGCTTAGTTTGGAGCTATTTTTTATATTTCCTGGTACATTTTGTTCTCTGAAATGATTTTTACTTGCAAGGTTGTTAGGATCTGGATTCTACATAGGATTTTCATAGGATTGGGATTGAGGATCATAAGATTCTATAAAACTATTATAAAAATAATTTAACTAACTTTCTAAATAAAACTATTTTCAAATATATAGAGAATAATGCTAAGCACAATATTATCAATATTTTCAAATAAAATGAGAATAATGCTAAATGAAATATCATCAACATTCTGGCAAAAATCAATTAACATTAAAAGATAGTAAGAAATTAAGACACATGACAAACGCTTAAATAAATTTCTTGATTTCCTTTCTGCAAGAACTTCAACATAACAGTCGAGCAGAATTTCACAGAAGCAATTAAGGCAAAGCCTAAACAAAGAGAAAAAAGGAACATATATATAGAGAGATAAAAGAACAATTTAGTTGCCTAATTATCTGAGCAATTAAGTCGAAGCCTAAACAAAGAGCAAAAAGGAACAGAGAAATAGAGAGAAAAGAAATATAGTTGCCTAATATCTGAGCAATTTTGTTGGAAAGACTATTTTTGTCTAAGAAGAAGAACTAAACAGAGGGAAAAAAAAGGGGGAAAAGACAGTATTTTTTTTGGTTCAGAATGCACAAATAATAGGTGGGGAAAGTGAGCTCTCTTTGTTTTGTTTTGAAAAAGATGGAAAAAAATAAAAATAAAGAAGTATAGATCAAAATAGAAGAAAATTTTGAAGTTCAGAGCTCGGATTGTGTTTACCTGTCAATGTGGGTTCTGCCTTTTGTTCTTTTTAAATGCAATTAGGCTAAAGTGTTGGACTTGTATACTTGAAAATCTTAAATTTCTTTGCCAAGAATGGATTGTAGGTCCAAATAAATTTAAAAAAAGAACAAAACAAGACGATTTAGTAGGATCGGTTGGTTCTCCGATCCTACCTCAATCCTGCTTCCAAGCAATCTGGATCGATTTAGCAATTTGGGATCACTGGAGCGGGATTTTAACAACCATGTTTACCTAACATTCTTTCATTATTTTCTTCGAATCTCCCAAGTTCACAGTTGTTGTAGTTGCTATCATGTCCTAACTGCTCCAATGGATTCTGAGAATTTTGGTGCTCGGAAGTTCATAAATGTCGAAATTCAGGGTTAGAATTAATTATGAAATAAAATAAAATTTCAGGGTTCTAATTGCTTGTTTAAAGTCTGGGAATAATATGTTGGGAATAGCAGCCTCTTGAAGTGGTGTACAATTCTATGGCAGTGGTTAAGTGGTGTGACTACTTTATCTACTCATGCCTGTAATGTTAACTAATGGTCAGACAGAGACCTACAGTTTTTGCGGTAGTAAATTGTAGCCTGCCTGAGCCCCGCTTTCCTACTTCCTAAAATGTTCCGTGTCTTTTTTTCTTTAGTCAAAGGATGAAGTATATAGGTCTTTTTGCTTGGATAAAATTTTGATGACATATTGGCAGAATGCGAGTTTTCTTGTTACGAAGTTTGGTGACACTGTCTGAGAATCAACTATTCAATCCATTGTGTGTCTCTGTTGTGTCTTACAGATGTTTGATGTTCAATCTACCATTTTGGGTGATATTTGCCAGAAGTGATATAAATGCTATTGGTGCACTGGTGGTAGAACTCCTGGAGGGTTGCCTCTGTTACTTTTGACACCAACCAAATAGTCGCAATTTCTTGAAATAGGTTTCTTTTCTCATCTGCTTTTGATTAGACACAGAAAAATTAGGCATGATATCCACAATGGTGATGTAGCAAAATCCGTGTCTCATTTGGTTTGGAATGAGGTGGAGCAATCTATGGTTGACATTGCATTTGCCCTTGTTTAAAACCCTAGTTTTGTGGGGGTATTTCTTATTGTAAATTGCGACTCATCTGCTCAAACCTATCCAGAACAAAGATGTACTGTTACCTAGTATGTTTGGGGTAGGGGTGGAGAAGGGGAATGCTCTTTAGCTAAATACTACATCTGGAAGCTTGTGCAAAAAAAATAGATTATTGTTAATGCATTTGGTGGCAGATCCCACATGATGAAACTCAATTCTGAAAGCATGTTTGTTAAATTATATGCAGACTTCTCTGCTTTTGGTTGGGATGGATGCATTTTTTTGGAGTTCTTATTCTTACTAGGATGTGACATCCATTTTAAGTCTAGTATGCAACATTTGAGAGAAATGGATGGGAGGCTAGCCATGCTGCAGCACAACGTCGTTCCTTTATATCAGTTGAATTAATCTCTCTGCAGTGCTTGGGAAAGGTGATAGGCTTGTGCCAAGAAGTATAGAATAAGATGTTGAAGTGGGACCTCTGTAAGAGACTGGATACATAAAATAGAGATCTTAGAATTTGGATTGACATCTGATCAAAGATAGTGGGTCAGTCTGTAAACAACATTTTAGCAACTGAAAGCCATCTCTGGCGTGGTGCCTCATGACCAATGCTTAAAATGCATACCTATTGTGATTTTGTTAAATTGGACAAGAATTAGTTTCCTGAAGGTATTGGATATTGTATATCTGTATGTCCTAGTAGGGCTGCCATCTGGTTGGATAAGATCCAATTTGCAGCTCGATTGACTCGGTTAAGATTTGATTACACTATCAAATGAGATCCATGTAATAGAATTGAGTTTGGCTCTGGGTAGAATTGATCGGATTAGATAAAAAACTGAACAAAGAATTTCCCTGGTGTTTTTATGTGTCATCGAGACTTCAACTAAGGCACTTAACTTCTCTTGAAGTAATAATACAACAAAATAACATAATATGAGATAAAGTGCTGGACATGCTTGCTGGGTGAATGTCCATTCTGATGATGGACGCGTATCACATTCCATACTCAGATGTGGAATGTCTGACACGAGAATTTCAAGTATATAGAAGAATACATGTAACATGTTTTCAGCAACTGTATCCAACATACTGAAAAGCTTCAAATGATCTTTCATATTCTCTTCTAAAATATTCTGGATGCATTGACTGTATTTCTGGTAGTGCTGCATTGTGTTGCTTTGTTCAGAACTAATTAATCTTTTTTGACAGGCGATCTTTACTGAGTCAATCACCAATAGGGATACTGCCAAGCTGTTTCATGGATATTAGTCCCGACACTATGGCTCCCAAGACCCGGCTAAGTGAAAGTGGTAGCTCATTGGGGACTACAAATCATTCCCTGAGAACACCTGAAACCGGCTTGGAGTCTGCTTCAGCATCCATTAAATTTAATGTGGAGAGGATCTCCTCAGGAGCCATGCCATGCACAACCAATGGTGCTCCGACAGAAAACGAGAAGAGGACGGAGAGCCGGAAAAGAAAATTGAGTTTTTATCAAGTTGGGTCTGTTCCTGCAATCAACTTGGAGCAGGAATTCTTGTCTCTTCCTGGAGCTGCAGGTAAAGAATCATCCGTGCAGGGTCAAGCAGAACATATCGAAGCAAATGGGGATGTGTTTGATGATGATCAATTTTATGAAGGCATTGATCTTGATGCAGTAGAGAAACAAGCTGCCTCACTACTTGGATACAAATCCGAGTTCTCAATGCAGAAAAGAACGATAATTACTGAACCGTCACCGCAAAATCTTGGTGTTCTGGGTTCTCCAACGTTTGATCTTGGAATCTGATTATTTAAGGTTCATAATTGTCCAGACTCCAGAGCACTGCCCAGCACAAGTGGCCATTAAAATGTGCTTCCTGCTGATGTTCCTTCCAATTCATGGGTTGTGATTTATCCACTTTGCTGCCATACACAATTTTTTTCCCGGCTCAGAATCAATAGAATGGGCTTTTTTGTGGGCATGTACAGATTGTATTTATCATATGGTGGACAGTGGAAATTTATGTGAATAAAATAAATATATGTACATTGTCATCCAATTCTGATGTTGTATATGCTAGTGACTTGTGTTATACATTCGTTGAATTTAAATGTTAAAACAAGAGTTCTCTCAAGGCTCCATTACATTGTATCATGTTGAACTTATGTGATGGAACTCACTCACTGGGATACATATTCTAAATTCGAAGAATGTATTGTTATTCTTTTAAATAATAATCTGTTTAAAAAAAAAAATTTAGAACTGTTTTCAAAAAGAAAAAAAAACCTCAATTGATTGACCCTTAACCTGGAGGCATATCAAATGTTGTAATTAAATGTTTTGGGCCCGTTTGACAATCACAATTATTTTGTGCTTTTACTTTAACCCAAAGAATTAATGTGTTTGTTTGGTACCGTATATTTGTTGTAAGATTTTTGGAAGCAAAAATATGAAAATAAATTTTGTAAAAAAGTGTTACAAGTTTGAAAATTTAAATAGGTAGTTAAAAATGTTTTAGAGTTTTTTTTTTTATTTTATTTTTTTAATTTATTTTAACAGTGCTTTTGCTACCTGTGCGGAAGCAACCACAAATATCATTTTTTTTTTGGATTTTGGCCTCTTTTTTGAGAACACTTTAATACTATTCAAATCGGAGCAAAAATGACCGAAGCAGAAGTGATTTCAAATGAACTTATATGTTTTACCTCTCAAAGTGAAAGATTGAAGGGTTAAAATACTATATGAACAAAGTGGATCTGTGTTATTTGGCAAAACATATAACTCCAAATTAAGGTGACAAAGATCTACAATTTTTGGGCAGGAAAAGGCCAACTGAGTTAGGTATGAGTAACGTGGGCTATTGCCTGGCATTCTAGAAGAAGGTCCATATCAGTCTCACTTTTTTTCACCATATATTTCATATTTATATGTGTAGATATATGTTAGTAGGTATATTATATCTCACTATCTCAATGTACTACAATTATGGCTGTAAATCCTAGTTATGCGATGACCCCATTTTGATGAGAAGAGACAGGTGGTTGCAATTTCTAACGTTACCCAGGTTCAAAGATGTGAGCCCGGATCCTTCATGGTATATGATGCTGTGACGGTTGCTGTAAAATTTTTCAACATAATTAAATTTGAGTGAAATAAATAAATTTAACATGTTAAAAATTTACTATATTAAAAAACAAAATATATATAAATATATTAAAAAACAGAATTAATGTGTTGTAATTTGCCTAACACTTGGAACGAAAAATTTATTATATGAGATTCGTTTACCTACCACACAAACATGTCACATGCTCCCTCCCACTCTCAATAGATGCCAAAACACCAATTCTTTCCTCAAAATCCGTAAACTCATGCAATAATACAGAGTATAATTCTTTACAAAGTTGATATTTTTAGATGGAGGAGGATTCACCATTTTTCATGAAATCTTGTATACATCATTAAGGGCTCGTTTGGCATATGATGTGATTTAGTCGTTATATTTTTTGTCAATATTAAAACAATTGTTTTGTTATAGGAGTGTTTTGAGTAGAAATCGAAACCATATTTGGTAATGAAATTTTGTTTTGAAAAATTCAGAAATTTTCTTTAATTCATTCGCTATGGTTCCAAAACACACAATATCGCCAATTCGGTGATATGGGTTTCAGCAAAAAAAAAATTTAATAGGTTATGAACAATTCTAAACCAATATTAGTCGTCTCAAGCATAATATAAACCCAAATTTAAATACACACTTTCTAAACAAGTCCTAAGCATTTCAAAAATTTCAATCCAAATAAATTAAAGTTATGATTGGTAATATCAAATCGGTGTTTTGGATTTGAAATTGGAGAAAATTTAGTTCAAAATTTATTCAAATCTCAAATTCAAAGAGTCAATTGAATGTTGCCAAATACAACATAAGTGATATTTGATTCCCTCAAAGTGAGTCATAAAATAAAAGAGTACTTGTCCTCAGATTGCTGATATTTTAAAACAAAAAAATTAAAAATTAAGGGTGAAATTATCTTTTTGCATTTTTTTATAGTGTTAGTGACGGAAAATGTAACGACCCTGATTTTTAGTCCAGCGTGTCCTGTGATGAACCGAATACTGATCCGATAATGGATCCGATATGCAGAAGTGAAAACAGAAAACAAGACTCTAAGAAGTCAAAATGACCTTCCATGAGGTCGTGGAACTTAATGAAAACTGACGTGGAAGCAAAAGACCAAAAATATGACAAATAAGCCCCCAGGGGCAAAAAAGTTATTTGTAAAAACTGTGGACTCGGGTGCCACCGAGTACACCGCTGGAAGGAAAACGAAAAACTAATCAAGATGGACTTAAGAATCACTTGATTCGGAGTCCGGATGAAGAAAATATGAAATTCCAAAGTTTTATAAAATCAAACTTTTGGGTTTGAAATCAATGCGGTAAGGGTATTTGATAAGGGGTAAAATGGTCTTTTTAAATAGAATTGGATGCAACCGTGCATACCGTTGGATAGACAAGCAAAAGTTAATAAACTTAGACTCAAAAATCACTTGATTTGGAGTCCAGATGACGAAGATATGAAGCCTCAAAGTTTCAAAAAATAGACTCACTTTCCGGGTCAAAAATCTGGGCATGAATAGTGTTTTAACAGCAAGTCACATTTGATTTTTTTTTCCAGAACTGAGGCTATGAACGGACCCTTAAACGAGTTTTTCTGAAAAAAACATGAAGAAGAAATCCCCCTTAAAATCACGTTTTCTACCCGACATCGCAAAAGAAACAAAAAAAAAACACGATGTAAAGTCCCTAAAAATGCCCCTTGAACAGCATAGGTCAAGATGGATCCAAAAAGCTGCTACATGAGTTTTTTTTCAGAATCTGCCCACAATAGAGAGCAAAAACGGATTAGAAGATGAATTTTTCTGGAAAAACACAAAGAAGAAATCCACCTCAAAATTTAGTTTTCTACGTTACTTGCGAGAGAACTAAAAAAAAAAGTAATGTAGAATGCCCGAAATGCCCCTCCATGAAATATGGTCATGGAGGTCCAAAAAGCTGCTAAAAAAAAATAGAAAGCTGAACTTTGCGATCGATTTCCGGTACCAAGACGACATTTTCTGGAAAAACACGAAAAATAAACCCCCCCTAAAATCATGTTTTCTAAGCGACCATGTCAAAAGAAGAAAATAAAACTGATGTGAAAGGTCCAAAATGCCCCTAGGTTCCTTTTTGTTCGTTTTTGAAACGACACTTCCGCATTTGTTTTCCTTTGGGTTCCGTGACCTCATTGAGGGTCACATTGGTGTCTTAGAGACGCATTGTATCTCTAGAAACCGTTGTTTCACCTTTCGCTTCCGCATTTCGGATCCGTTATCGGGTCAATCCTCGGTTCATCACTTACCCACCGGGTTAAAGAAAATCTGGGTCGTTACAGAAAAGTAAAATTGGACTTAACTAATAGTAATTTTTTAAAAATATTTCAATGTGATATTTAATCAAACTTGAGGGATATCAATGAAATTAACCCTAAATATTATTCAAAGGTTCAAAAGTTCAAAATTACATTTCATCATCCTCCACTAAAAATGGTTACAAATTCCAACTCAGACAACAGCACAATTTAAATTAACCACAATTTATTAGACACAAAAAAAAAAAAGAAAAGAAGAAGAAGAAGAAGAAATATAAATATAAGAACCTAGTTGAGACTGTTGAGTAGGCAAATTTTCCATTTCAAGGCAATCCTTAATCTTCCAATTAAGCTTATCCAATTATCCATATTTTGTACGTACATTGACATGCTACCATGTTGGCACTACGAACATCACAAACACACTGCAGCCGGAAACAAAATCGCCGCCGTTGTGGCGGCCCCCCACCACTACCAGTGTCTCTGATGGCTTCGCCACAAGGAACTTGTATGAAAGTTTTTTTTTTCTATAGTTTTGACTCAGTTGATGAGTTTGCAGACGAACTCCGAGTCTCGGATTGAAATGGAATGAGTCCTATGGACAGCTTGAGGTCGAGTGCTTTGTAGTTTAGCTGATCTTGATTGTTTTGCGGCTGTAAATCCTCCGTTGTGCCACTGTTGCATCTGTTTTCTTTCACGAGCTTGCGCTTGATGTGAGTGTTCCAGTAGTTCTTGATCTCATTGTCTGTTCTTCCCGGCAATCTTCCAGCTATTAAAGACCATCTGACAAAAATATAAATATATGAACTTCAGAAAAGTAATTAAGACAAAAATTCGTTTCTGTTACTTTCAATTTGGTTGCTAATAAAAAAACTCTTAGAAACATATATAGTTTAATTACAATCTTAATTATGAATTTGGATTGTTAGGTATTCAATAAGATTAGCACTAATCAATCCCAGTTAATTTAATTGCTTGGTTAATTAATTTGGAATTTAAAAACACATGAACCAATTTATTCAAGGTGTTTTCCTCCAATAATAATGCACTCTTATGGTAGATTAATTGGCTTAATCTGAAATTTCAAATATAAAAAAATTCCACTTTTTAACGTTTTCTCAGCTTCCAAATAGAGAGAAAATTAAGTATGAAAATTCAACGTACTCAACTCAAACTCAAGAAATCATTTTTCTATCTATTTGGAATCGGCTACATGAATCACAGTTTTTCTCATTCCGCTCTATAAAAAAACATAGCCTCAAAAATTCAAACAAAAAGAAGAAAATTATAGTATACTTGTTTCCGAACAGTCTGTGAAGTTTGATGATGAGCTCATCTTCCTCTTGGGCGAAATTCCCTCTCTTGAGGTCCGGCCGGAGGTAATTTATCCACCTGAGTCTGCAACTCTTGCCACATCGAAGCAATCCTAAAACAAGAATAAAAAGTATTGGAGAGAATAAACTAAGTCATCAATCTGGCCTTATATATATATATATATTTCTGACAAACTAGGGGAAGGAAAAACATGCCAACTAGATCATTGGGTAATACCCTAATTACATAGGAATATGAATATGTCAATTCCCTTTTTTTTAAAAAATTTATTTTTATTCTTACAAGCCACCAAGCTTTGAGAAGAAGAGTGAATATTTATGTGTGTGTGTGTATATATATATACATATATTTATGTATGTATAGAGAGACATGCGGATCTAGATGTGTAGAGTGGTGGTTACCGGCGGCTTTTGGGAGGGAACGCCAGCAGCCTTGGCCGTGAGCATGGATGTAGTTGATGAGGCGCTCATCTTCTTCTTTGGTCCATGCACCTTTGTTGGTGTGAGTTTTATCACAGCAAGGTGTACGTCCCATTTTTATTTTGTGGATATATGTTAGAGAGAGAAGAGAGAAGAGAGAGAGAGAAAATCTGGGAAGTGGCTTTGTCTGTGCTTGATATACAGAGAGAAAGATATATAAGAGAGAGATTTGATTGAAGTAATAAGTTGGCAAAGAGCCAAAGAGGGTATGGTATATATGTGGGGATGGGAAGAGAGAGAAAGTAGAGAGAGAAAGGAGGAGGAGTAGCCATGAGAGTGGATCCTTTTTGAGTGACGAGGAGTAGTACTCGTGGAGGGAAGGAAGAGGATGTTTGACAAAGTTGGTAAGAAAAGTGGAGTGGTTACAGATGGGGCAGGATCTGGTAGGTAGCTCAACTTTTTTACATGAGTTGGCGGCCTCTCTCATCTGGTTGTACTTTAGTAAATACACACACACGTATGTGTGTGTGTGTATATATATATATATTATATACACACATGTATACACAACACTATCAAAAGCCAAAAAGCCATGTGCTAAGCAGGTTGTATAATTTTTTCAAAAAAAATAAGAAATTAAAATTAGAAATTATGAATAATATGTCGACAAATAAAACAAAATAAAAATAATATAACCTTATATTTTTAAGTTTGGTCTATAATAGAGTAATGATAAATTACCTTTTCTTTTTTTTTTTTTTTTTTGATCCAGTACATCAAAGTGGAACCAAGTTTTTTATTTTAATTTATTTATTTAGGGAAGCTACAACATGCCGTTCATACTTGAAATATATAAAAGAAAACTATATTTAATTAATTCTTTTACATTTCTTGAAGAGAAAAAAGTTTAAGTAAATTATATATTCAAGCTAATGTATTTCATTGGTTTGTGCATTAAGAGTTCCCGTTGTTTACGAAGACAAAGAAATTGATTATGAATTCGTTATAATTGTATGTAAAAAATAAAAAATTATTGGGTTAATTACAACGACACGTTCTGAGGTTTGTCATATTAACATTCATATATAACTTAGCCATTTTTTGAACAAAGACACTGCTTGTGAGAATTTTTGATCCAAACAAGCCCTTAAAACATTTGAAAAGACGAAATTGCCCTTCAATGTTTAATTCATTTTTATGGTAAAATATCAAAACTCATGAAAAGTCAAATTTGCCCTTATATATATTCACTATTATATCAGTACCATCCTATATAAATATATATACATATAACCAATTTCAAATATATACATCATATATAAATATATATACATATAACCAATCTTAAAGCCTCCTTCCTCCACCTCTGCCACCGCCCCATCCACATCCGCCACTGCCGCCATCTTGATCCGTTGTCGTCGTCGCCTTTGCGTCTTGAGTCGTCGCCGCCGCCTCTTGATTAACATGTTGTCGCTGCCCTTCTTAACCACAGCCGCAGCCATCACTTCTCATCCACAGTCGCCGCCATCGCACCGACGCCAACAACAGCTGCCGCCTCTCCCTCCGTATACTGCCACCACTTCTCATTCACTGCCACCACCATCACACCGACGCCAACAACAGCCGCCACCATCGCATCGACGCTAACCCACCACCAAACAAAAGCTTGTGATCCAACCGCGATTCCCGACGACAGCGACGACGACCAGTGGAAGCTTCGACGAAGGCGACCATCATACCGACAACGTTAATGGTTAGAGAAGTTCTAGGCAAAGACCCGATGCTGAGGCTCCGCCGCTCTGGTGAGAAGAACATGGTGGTTCAATTAATCACAATCTATATACACACATATATAGGAAGAAGATAGATTACAAGAATTTGGGGGAAGTGGATTTGGGGAAGAAGATGAATTACAGGTTATAAATACACATATATGTGTGTATATTATACAAAGAGAGACTAGGAATTGATCTTTGCACTTTCTATTTTGTATTTTGTGATATTTGATGGCTTTATTTCAAGCACCATGGTGGTGGAGGTGGTGATGGCTATGGTAGGGCTGTGAAATGGTGGTGGTGGTGGGTGTGAACTGGTATGAGTAGAGTTTCTAGGGTATTTTGGTCAATAAAAAAGAATTGTATTGGATGAATTAGTAATTGAATGTGTTAAAGGACAATAATGTCAATTCACGGCCATTGGGGCGTCTTTGTTAACTTTATCAAATCTAACGGGGTCTCTTTGTCTAAAACATGACTAAATTGTATATGGTTGTTGTAATGACCCGGTTATTTCCTTCCTTTCCTTTTTCCTCAGAATTTTACGAATCAATTTTTTTCGTTGAAATTTCTTTTCTGAGTTCGGTTTCTCGCCACTTAGTGTCGTCTCGAATGCTCAGAAATGGTTTCTGAGACTCTTTCATTTGGATTGACAACTTCCTTAAAGGACCGCGTCATTCCTACATTTTTCATTTTTTTGACACTATTCACTTTTCCTCTTTTCCTTGTTTGTCATTTTGTTGGCATAACCTCACTTTTCGTGTTTAGAGTTGATTTTTGACTTCATGTACCTTCATCTTAAGTGGTTTTCATGAAATACGTATCTTTACTTTTGTAGGAAAGTACTTTGGTTGCTCCCCGTGTCCATAGGGGTATGGATGCAAAGTTTTTTAGAAATATTTTTGTTTCTTGGGGTATTTTTCATAAATATCTTTTAAAAATATTTTATTTCAGGGGTTTTTAAGAAAATATTTTTGAAAGATATTTTCATTCTGGGTCATTAGTGCTGTTAATCATTTTTGGAGGGGCCATTGTGCAATTAATGAAAGTAATTGCAAAAATGCCTCGTTTTGAGTCTGGATCCTCATATGGGATTCATTTTTACATTTCGTCAAGTCGTGTACTCTTAGAATTATCTTGTGGTCGAACCCTACAGTTTTTGAATTTTCGGCCTTAGTTGCCGCCGAACTTGTTTGGGGCATATTTCTCTGCTCGGGACTCAATTTTTGACGCCGTTTCTTCTGTTATTCATATTTTCTCATTTTGGTTCTTTTTTGTTCACGGAGTTTTACCGTTTGAGCGCGTCTGCTCAAATTTAACTTTTCCAGACCTGGCGGGACCCTTTCAGAGCACTTTTAGGGTTTTGCTATAAATAGAATGTCTTAAAGTGAAAAATCACTTTTTCATCATCTTCCTCCCTCTCTTGGTCGGCCATCCATGGCAGCCTTGGGCTGCCACCCTTCTCTCTTCTTTTCCGGCCACTTCCTTCTTGAAAAACGTTGTAGTGCCTTAGCGTTTATTGTAGGTCTTGATGAAATCTTCCTTTCCCCCTTATTAGATTCCATTTTTGGTCATTTTTTGAGTTCAGGTTTGAGGCCAAGTTAGGATTTTGGTAGGACTCCCTTGGGGTTTAATAATCACCTTATTGTCCTCGACAAAACCCCGAAGTTTCGTCGGATTTGGAGCGGTTTTATTTTGGTGGCTTTTGAAATTTTCATCTCAAATTGAGGTAGGGGATGTCATAGGTTTATATTGGAGTTATATTGATTGTTTTATAAGCATATATAACTTGTGAGCATGCCTTTGTACAAGTTTTAGAATTTAATTTAATTATTTTTTATGTTTAAGATTTAATTCATATGGTTGTGTATAATTTGGAATTAAATTGTGGTCTGCTAGTAAATTAGGACTTGGTATGTTTATCAACATATATTAAATTGGGAGCATTTGAATAAGAATTGCAAATTTTATTTAATATTTATCTTTAATGAAAGATTAATTAACATAGTTGTAATAAGCATGAAATCAACTTGTAATGTGATATTAAAGTGGGCCTTGGTATATTCTTTAACTTATGTTAAATTGAGGACATTTGGAGATGTTTGAAAATTTAGAGAAAATTAATTAATTTGCTTAATTAATTTTATTTTAAGTGTTGTAATCACTTAAATAGATTTTGGGTATAACATATGTGAAGACCATGTTATGTCCTTTAACATATATTAATTTGAGTTTATTTGGGATTGATTTGAAATTTAGAGACTTTTCATGTTAGGTTGAAAATCCCTTGAAATGTAGTGAAATTAATTACCTTATGAGCATATTACTAATTAGATGTAAAATTAGTACTTGGGGCCTCTTGAAATGGTAATTGGACTTACCATGATATAGAATATCATTGACTTGCATAACTTGTTTAAGCATATCTTGTGTAAGTATATAGCTTGTTAGAATATTACAATTGATTACCTTGAAAACTTATTATTAATTTGAAACTTATTTAATACTTGTGGCTTAGGATGGTAAAGTGGCTCAATTGTTGTAAAATATTTTTACTTTGTGTATAAATTGCATATTGAGGACATGACATGTCATATGCTATTTAGACTTGAATTCTAGGACATGGTTTGTGTGGATTCAACCTTACTTGTGCATGAAATGTGGTAGCTTGCTTTTTGATTTTGTATAAGTTTAACTTATTGATTTTGGAAAGCTTGCGAGGACATAATTTATGTGATGGCTAGGGTTTGGATTTAGTACGGAGACAAGAGTCTTCTAAGTCATAAGTGCATACTAGGTGGTACCTTGTAAGTCATAATTACCCGAAAATACTTGATTGGTCTAGTGACCGCATGTCATAGTCTTTCTACTATTTGATTTCGTATTTAATTTCAAGTTGTTAATCATGGATTACTTATAACTTGAGAATTGATGCTTACTTTGGGTATTTGAATCTTATTTATTATACTTGAACTTGTATACTTGCTTCGTGAGTTTAAATTTCATTTAGTATACTTGTGCCGTGTATAATTGTCTTATGTGTATTTCGTTTAGCTTAGTATACTTATGGTTGTATACTTGATTTATGAGTGCTCTACATATATCGAATACTTGTGTACGTATGCTAGATATTGTTTATCTTGTTTAACATGATTTAAGGTACTTGAACATGTATGTTTGTATGTCGTGTATAATGTTTTAATACGGTTTAGTGTTCTTGAGCATGTGTACTTGTATGCCGTAGTTCATTAAATTGCATGAGTAGCTTAGGATGATCCCTAAGTCTCACTTATGACATAGACGTTAAGTGGTATGACCCCTTTTGAATTGTTTCACATTAATGTAATAACCTTGTAGGTTATTAGGTCTATGCATGCTCATCTCCTACGAGTAGCTTTATGTTACTCACCCCAAAGTTACCAGGGACAATTTTCAGGTATGAAGACTTGGTTAGTGATGCTCATCATTCCTTGGATGACTTGTAGTTTTTAAGTTTCCATTTCATGCA